AGGATGATCAAGCAAGGTGGCAGAGCTGTTGTCCAATACCTAGTGCAATGGGAAGGGCAGAATGTAGAGGATGCATCCTGGAGGGATTCCAAGGACATGGAGCGGAGGTTTCCTGAATTTTTCTGTTAATTGTGTAATGTCAATTTGGTTGTAAATAATTGAATAAAGGCCCTTCTCTTTAAGGGAGAAGGAATGATACAGGCGTTGCCTTGCCACGTGTGTGTGGTGGTTAGATACGGTTAGATGGTAGTTGAGTTTGTTAGACGGTTAGCTAAGCTCGGGGGGGCTCAAGGCCTTTATATACTTGTATTCAAGCTGTGGTTGGAATAAGAAGACATTTAATCTCATTTCACATAACTTCTCTCTCTCTCTTCTCTCACATTTTGATCGGGACTTCAATCCGTGGTCTTTATCGTTCATCCTCGAGGATTCTTCTCCATCTCTGAATCCTCCTGCATTGGACTTTATCATTACGGGTAGAAACATGAAAGAGTAACCCTATGTAAATCTTGGACCTAATCAAACGGCGATTCATAATTGATCAATTTACCCAAAAAAATTAGGGAAATCGAGAGCCCAGAATCTGACATAGGTATGGAATTCGAGAGCCCAGAATCTGAATCCACAAAGTTATGATTAGAATAAGATTGTATATGAAGTTTGGAAACAAACCTGATTATCGAATTGACGTAGAAGAATAAGGGGATTGTGACGTTTTAGATTTCGAAATTGACATGAAGAATACGCGAAGAATCAACAGATTTCATTTCCTTTGGCGAAGATCTACCACAAGAATCAGCGAATTTTTGGCGAAGAAGTCTGGCTGATGAAGAAATCTGCGATGGGCATACAGAGGAGGAGAATCGGCAATTGGGAAGGGTTCTGCTATTTTGTCGCAGAAGTGGACACCTGTAAACTTAATACGTAGTAAACTTAAGTGTAATTATATAAGACTATACTTAATTGCTAATGTCAAATTTCTACCCATCAAATTCTCAAATTTTATATTAAAGTATATATATATACATATATATGTGTGTGTTACTTTATTCTGAAAGGAGCAACTGGATAAATTAGGATACTATAATTTGGGATCAGAGCGAGTTTGGTTTCAAAAACGGTTTTTGGACCATTTGACTAAATTGTTTTTGAAATAGTGCTTCCGTATCCTCCACTTCATCACAGTTCCAAGAAGGTAATAAATTATTGTTTTACATGATTATCTAAGTTTCGTTGAAGTTAGAGATTGCTAATAAAATAAAATATGGATTGCGAAATATTTTACAAATGAAAGTTAGTTATACAAAAGTTTATAACTGTTGAAAATCGACATATTTAAATTCTTGAAACAAATTAAATACTTCAAGAAAAAGATATTAAGGTATTTGTGTGTTGACCAAATGTCATTATAAAATTTTTACAAAAAGAAATTGAATATTTCATAAAAATTGTACTCCCTTCGTCTGGAAATATTCTTCCCATTTGACTTTTCTTGGTCAAAGTTTGTAAACTTTGACTATGATATGTGGAAAAAATACATTGTATTACGATATAACTTGAATATGAATATATTCAATTTGAAATATAGTTTTTAAATATCAAATTTTTATAAAGTATATCCATGTATAAATAAAGATATTAGTGGTCAAAGTGCAATCTTGGATACCGTAAAAAGTCAAATGGGAAGAACATTTCCGGACGGAGAAAGTATCAATTTACACATTATGGATATTATTTATACCATGGGAGGCCCGAAGGGTGTACAAAGTGGCCAACCGCACAGGGCACCTTAAAATTTAGGGCACCATATTTTTAAATTTATTAATAATTTTAAAGTAAAAGTATTCTAAAAATATAAAATAGGACACAAAATGTAAATTTTGGACAGGGCCAATTTTATTTTTTCATTTTTCGGGGCCGGCCCTGATTTATACCTTGATAAAATTATTATTTTTCTCCAAGATTATGAGTTTGTTGCCAAAATAAAGATTCTGGTAAAAGAATATTGTTTCGATTCTGAAATGTTTAAAAACAATAATAAAAATAATTTTGTGAATGTTTTTGAGACAGTTGTAGGATGAAACTCGGAAAATATCTTACAAATATTTTTATATGACTTTGATCTTTTGAAAAGAATTTTTAAATAAGTTGTTAATTTGAGCCACTTGGTAGATATATACAAATAAATAATGATGATCAATATTTTGTGTCAAAAAGTTATTTGAGTCAAACAACCATTATGAGTCACTATTGTTATAAAAATGTTGCCAGATGTTTCAAAAAATGATTAATTTTGAAAAGATTTTATATGATGAGTTTGTTAAAAGAAAATGAATTTTAAAAAAAAGTTTGTGTAGACTGTAAACTCCGTATATCTTGTTTAAAATGTTAAGAAATCATTCTACATAGCACTCTAAGTCACCCTAAATTACGCATTTAGCACTACTCATTGTTTTAACAAACTTATCAATTTATGGTGTCAATCCTTTCATATCATACCCTTTACACCTTTTTTTTCATTAAAAATTACGGCATTCAACTCCAATCTCTCCTTCCTTTCTCCCGCACGCTATTGAACTCCACAGTCTCTCCTTCCGTTCGCCTGTGATGATGCGTCCTCAGTCCTTCACCCACGATTCCTTGGCCGATCAGCAGCGACAATCATCAGGTTCTCTCACATGCTAATCTTCGATGCCGGTAATCATTTTCTCTTCTCCTTCAATTTTTAATTTTCATTTCTTCATCCTTTTATTCGGATTTCCCTGTATTTTTAGTATTAATTATTGTGTTTTCTTCGTATTGAAGATCAGGTGCTGTGAAATTAATTTTGAAATACCAAGCATTTGTCCCTTTTGAAAAACTAGGTCTTTTGAAAGGCATTGTGATTTTGGCAGTGTGAAGATTATGTGGGCAGTGTAAAGATTAAATGTTAAAATTTTGTCCTGCATCCTTTTATTCAGATTTCGCTGTATTTGTAGTTTTAATTATTGTGTTTTGTTCGTATTGAAGATTAGGTGCTGTGAAATCAATTGTGAAATATGGAGTATTTGTCCCTTTTGAAAAATTAGGTCTTTTGAAAGACACTAGACTCGAACCCGTGCGTTGCACGGTCTGAGTTAAAGCTAAATAAATAGGGGAAGCATTGATAAAAGTAAAAGATAAAATTTGCTTTAAACAAAGATATGTAATATATATTAAAGAGGAGGAGTTTTACAACAACGCACAATGTGATAGAATAACATTTTCAGTTTTGGAAAAGTTTTTTATAGACTACATTTGCAGTTTTATTAGATGTCGCAGAATCTTCACCACAAATCAAAATCTTTAATCCATTGCGATTAGTGACTCGTGATAATGCCACATAAAGTTGACCATGACTGAATACAACTATCTTTAGTAAAAGCCCAATATGCGTCAAAGATTGTCCTTGACTTTTATTAATTGTCATAACATAAGAAGTCATAATCGCGAACTATTTCCTATGAAATTTAAAAGGACTTCTTGTATCCGATGGCGTAAGCAACAATCGGGATAACAATTTCTTGACCAATGCTTTTCCCTGTCAACACCTTGCCTTGAATTAGATGATTGCCAAGTCGTGTAACGATCAACTTAGTTCCATTGCACAAACAGAAGATTGGTCTATATTTCTCAACAACATTACCGGTGTTCCAATCTTTAACTTCAATTCATGGGATACCAGATGCTCGAATGTTATTTAAAAATTCTGGAGAATGCATGTCACTTAAGAAATCTGAATTTGAATCAGATTTACACAAAGCATCTGAACTCAAGTAACTTCTAGCTTCTCCCGTTTTGTTCAATGAGGTCATGGATTCATTGATTTCATCCACAACTTCTAGTGTTCGTGCCAAGATTGCTCTACTTTGCAAATATGTCGGATCAATCACAATATTGTGAAAGTCTGGATAAGTTGAATTCACTACAGACACAATTAAAGTTTATTTCGTTAACCAATGTTTAATTCGTTGGATAGGTTCGTGGTTCGTGGCTCTATGTACGACAACTCGTCGTTTACAATTATTAATTGCTTTAATCAAATTTTATATGCTCTAGCTAACAATACATTTTCTTTAAAAAAATTAGTATTAAATCAAAATAGAAGGACACTTCTCTTCTTTTAAATCAAAATATTTAAGTCATAGAGCCATGATAATTTAGTATATTTTCAAAAAAAAATTCAATTATCCTTCTTTTTTAATTAGCATCACAATTTGAATTAAATAGTTTGTGGCTTAATACCCACATTTTCCAATGTATTTCATCTATTACATACATTAAATGTTTATTGCGTTAACCAATGTTTAATTGATAGGAAGGGTCGAGATTCTAGGTAAAAAACTCGTAATTTACAGTTATATAGCTTTAATCGATATTTATAAATTCTAGATAATAAAGTAACTTGGTTAAAGTGAAAATCAAGCTGTCAAAATACATAACTCCAAACCTTTTAATGCCTTCACGGGTACCAAAGACCCATTAGCCCAACCAAAAATTCATTTGCCCAATCGGATAAATTTTCTTCTTTGCCCAATCCGATACCCGAACTTAATATCCAAACGGTGCCTGAGAACTTTAGGCGGGAAGATAGCACAGTTCATTTCTTCCCTTTATAAATAACATATCGTCTGGGGTAACCAACTCTCCACATTAAATGCATGTATTTGTTAAATCTTTTCTTTAATTTGATTAGACATAAAGATTTTCTTGAGCCACACATTTCTTTTTCTCGAAAACATAAAGCATGCATTTTTCAAGTTTTTCCTTTTTCATTTTTCCATGAAGAGTAATGATGAATCACACGGTTTTATGATTACACATCCAACTTTCCACATTAAATGTATATATTCGTTAAATCTTTTCTTTTATTCGATTAGACATAAAGTTTGCCTTGAGTCACGCATTTCTTTTTCTCGATTCTCGAAAAGATAGAGCATGAAGAGTAATGATGATGCACGTGGTTTTATGACTACACATCCAACTCTCCACATTAAATGTGTGGATAAAGCTATTTGTACCCCAAACTTTTGTACCACATTTGTACACCGCAGGTTTGCATCGACATTTTGTGTTGGTGTAAAACTAATTTTTATTGACAGACGAACACTTTGTGTCCGTTTAAATTTTTGTTAACGCACCAACACTTGTGTCGGTGTAAACCATCAAAATGTTTGTGTATAACTGCGGTGTACAAATGGGGTAGAATTTTTGGTGTAAGTGTAGCATGGCCCTAAATGTATATATTCGTTAAGTTTTTTCTTTTATTCGATTAGACATAAAGTTTGCCTTGAGCCACGCATTTTTTTTCTCGATTCTCGAAAACCTAAAGCATGCATTTTCAAGCCTTTTCGTTTTTCCATAAAGAGTAATGATAAGGCACACGGTTTTACGGCTATACATCTAAGTTTGTCGAGTTTGACTCGAAAAAGTCAAACTGGACAAATACACTGGGACAGAGGGAATATTTTCTTTTATTCAATAAGACATAAAGATTGCCTTGAGCCATATATTTCTTTTTTTTCGATTCTCGAGAGCATAAAGCATGCATTTTTCAAGCTTTTGCCTTTTTGTTTTTCCATAAAGAATAATGATGAAGCATGCAGTTTTATTGCTACATATCCAACTATCCACATTAAATGCATATATATTTATTAAATCTTTTCTTTTATGCGATTAGACTTAAGGATTGTCCTGAGTCACATATTTCTTTTGCTCAATTCTCGAAAACATAAAGCATTTTCAAGCTTTTCCTTTTTCGTTTTTTCATGAAGAGTAATGATGAACCCGCGATTTCATGACTACACATCCAACTTTCCACATTAAATGTATATATTTGTTAAATTAATTTTAAAATGTCATCAAAAGAAAAATGTCATACTCATAATTAATACTACGTATGACACAAATGCATCCATTAAATTAGAACAATACTATAGATAGTAATTTTGGGAAGTTATATTTCTACTTTAGTTTTTTGATATTGACAATAATATACGGACTAATTTAATGTGTCAATAGAAATAAAATAAAAGGTAAATATCATTTCTTTAATATTTGTTTGAAAAAAATAAGTAGTGGGAGCACTCCATATTTTTTAAAATTCATGCTAGGGATACAACATTTAGTGTACAACATTAATTCATCCTCATTTAATCCTCATTTAAAATTATTGTATACTATTTAATTTTATTTATTAAAATTCACAATTAGTAAATTTGTGAAGTTTGTGACTATTTTGTTTGTGAACCAATCATTATTCTTATTTTTATCCACACTTGGTGGAGATGTAATGGTATGCTTTTTTTTTGTATCGTGTCATTTTTCATTTTGAAGCATCCATCCTCCCTTACTTCTGTACCTACCCTCTCTATCCCTCTCTTTCCTTTTGAAGGATGACCGGCCACTTGGCCAGTGTATGAAACCGGAACACCGCCGCTTGTGGCTTGCGGCTACCTTAGCTTGACGGTTTCGTGTTCCAGTTCAAAAAGCCTTTCCGTCTTCGATCTGGTATTGTTATGTATTGAAATCCTGTTTATCATGAGTTTTTCTTCGATCTGAAATTTATTCGTGGTTTTTAGGAGTTTTACTCCCGATGTTTTAGTTGTTCCCGAAGTTAGTTGATGTTTAGCTCTTCTAGACCGACCTGAGTCTACTAATCGGTCTATAAGGTTTGGAGTTTTTACTCTTTCCCAAATCTTAATGCATGAATTTCGGGATTTCTTGCATTTTTTATTATTCCACTAACTTCCTTCAAAATATGTAAAAAATAATTGTTACTTTTTCTAATTTTAATTTAATAAATGCACAATTTTGCATAAAACATCTTCAATTGTTTGTATCCGTTCAAATGCATATTTTGCATTCAAAATTTTCAGATTAGAATGCTTTTTCATTGAAAAGGAAAAAGTTTCTTAACATTTTATTACTACGGACTTACGGAGTAAGTATTTTATATTACATGTGAACTAATAGAGTATATTTTAAATTTTACAATAAGGAATTGAACCTGAAAGTATGTGTTCTATCCTTTTTCATAGAACACACAATGTTCAATTATATATTGCACCTGCTCGTATGCTTTAATTTGGGTATCTGCAAATATCTCTGGTTTTGTAGGTAAACCTTATTTATTTACCCAATACAAAGACCTTGGAAGGCAATGGTAATAGTAATTTTTTGTTCTTTCACTTGGGCAAAGGTGGAAATAATGATGATCCAGATTATTAAATCCAAGAACCACAACCTTTATATTTAACTTTTCTAAAAAATAATGATCTTTTAGAAACCAATATTCTTAATTGCATTCATCAAACCAATTACTTTTGTTTGATGATTCATCAAATGTTCTCTTGAAAGTCAAAACTGCATTCTTTGTTAACTCCTGATATCATTGAAACACTTACTCCGTATTTAGAAAAGGCAATTTCCAATATTCTATGACATTTACGTTTAGAATGCTTTTTTTTTAATACGAAGTATTTGGTTTTGCACATTGCTCTAAAATAAAAATTCAATTTTATTATTTATCATTCATAGTTTCTTGCGAATGTCACTACTAATATAGTACTCTAAATAAAATACCATGAAATCATATAGAGTATATACTCCGTACTTTGTAAAACTTATCAAATAAAATAATTAATTGCACAAAAAGGAAAGGCCAAGAAACTTCTAAGAAGCCCAAAAAAGTCTGAGTACGGAAAAGGAAAATTATGGTTGTGGATTGGTTAGACACTGGCTCACAATTGATGTATTTATAGATGGATTTGTGTTAATGCCCTTCACTTTTATTTTAGGAATAAATGACTGATACTCTAATCTAAAGATTTGCAAATCTCCAATGGTTGAATTGTTTGATGTGCCCCCAGCTGGAAAGCAAATATGTCAGTAATGGATTGGCGTGCCATACACGCTGAATAGAGCTTAACTTAATTAATGCTGATTGGACATAAAGAGCCCTACTTTTGTACTTGACGTGAGACTTCATGGTGCAGACTGCAGGACTTGCTGCCCACTTACCCATACTCGGCCCACCAACCCGACCCATTACTATTTCTAATTGGATACCCGAATTTTAGGCGGGAACACTGTTCAATTTTCCATCTTACCATTGTATATAGTAAGATTAGGATTTTGGCAGTGTGAAGATTAGGTGTTATGGTATGGGCACTTTAAAAATTAAATGTTAAAATTTTGTCTTGCATTTTTAGTTTTATCTATTTCATATTTCTCTTTGTAGAGATGTCTTAATTATGTCTAAGTAGTTAGCATAATTTTACTAAAAACAAAGCGGCTCCATTGAACATTAATTGTAACGTCCTGGAAACTGATTTAGTAGTATTTATTTTAATAAAAATAAATATATCATTTATTGATTCCAAAATATGAATTATTTGTAAAATTGACCATTTTCATTAAAAATTGGATTTTCGGTAGATCGCGTAAAATCGTGACTAACGCGTAAAATGGAAGTTATGGTTCAAAAAGTAAATAAGAGGATGTTATAAATAAATCTTACTATATACTCCCTCCGTCCTAAATTATAATGCCTGTTTACTATTCACAGGGTCAAACTTCATTCACTTTCTTTCTCTATTTTCATTAGCAATTTGATAAAATAAAATATTATTGTCACTACTAGTTGTGTAAATCTTTTGATGTAGTTTTTTAATATGTAATTTTATTTTTTAATTTTATACCACTTGTCATATAAAATAATTTGAAAATAATTTCAGTCAAACATCGTAAACCGAAATAGGCGTTATAAATTGGGACGGAGGTAGTACAATGCTAGGATTGCCTTTTGAACAGTGTTCCCGCCAGATGTAGGAGTGCTGGATTGGGCCGAATCGGGCTGGGCCAAAATTGGGCTATTAATGTGTAGTCTAATCAATTTTAAGAGTTGTCCTATTAATGTGTGGTCTAATCAATTTTAAGGGTTGTCATATCAGTCCTTTTAAAATGATTAAAGTGATGCATTCCTCCATAAAGTAGCTTAAAGTGGTGCGTGACTCCATAAAATAGATTAAAGTGGTGCGTGGCTCTAAATGTCAATTTTGAAGTCCTTGGATAAAGTGAGCACAGCAGCAGCCCTTGGAGATTGGGAGCTGTGCCATTAAAGCAATCCTTACTTTTATCATTATTATCATGACTATTTATTGAGAGTTGTGCTTGAATTAAATAGGTGTAATAATTAACATGATTCACCAAATCTTTTAAACTTCTGCTTGCACAAGACTATAGTATAAATATGAAGTACATCTTTAATTTAAAACTCATTACGAACTTCATTTGGTTTTTTGCAATTTTTTTTTTTAATAATTTCGAATGCAACCTACACCAAAAGTTTCTATTCTCTGCCATCCAGGTACTTCTTCCCACCTTGAATGACATCTTTATTTTTCCTCTGGAAAGAAATTATGTGCGTAATAAATTAAGTGAAATTGCATACTTAAACTGGTGAAAACCATATGTAATATGTTTTAATAATCGCTGCAAATTCTTAAACTGAAGAGTAGTAAAATCAATCGCGAAGGATGCATTCAACACTATTTCACACAATAAAAATCTATAGCATTGCAGTGAAGAACTAAGTCATCCACAAATGTAGTTTGAAAAAATCATACAAGTATCAACCAAAAGAGTTTAAAAGAAGGATTTCTCCTTAGACCTTAGAAGCAGTTTGAGCAAAAACATTGAAATAAGAAGAGGAAAGTAGAAGAGAGCATTTTGAAAGATCAAAGTATAAGACAATTAGTTCAACTAATGCACCTGAAGATTGGCCATTATGTACGGCTATATAAGAGGTCTATAATGATGTTTTTGATGTGCTAAAAATCAAAGCATAGAAAGTTATACTACTATAAAGCCACTTTTGAACCCAAACTTTAAAACTTTTATAGTTACAATGAAGGTTGGGCACACTCATTCTGAGATAAAATGGAGCGAAAAGATTTGTTCAAGAAAAAAATTGTAACTTTCTGTTTGCAAAGATAATTAAAAGGACATTGGATATGACTTTATCACAAGGATTCAAAATAAAAATAAGATCCTTTTAAGAAATGTATGATTGAATTCAGAAAACATTTTTCAAAACTTTGAAATATGAAATCTTTGGTAATCAATGCTTCATCCCCTCAAATTTCAATACTTCAATTTCAATAAAAAATATTATAATCCGTATTTTACGTGTAATCACATTGAAAAATCTTCACTACAACTAAATCAGAGCATCCAATCAATGGAACAATGACATACATAAATTAAACACCAATTTTAAACAAAAAAAGTCTGAGTCTATCACGGAAAGATAAATGGATTTAAAGAATATATAAAAAAAAGTCAAATAGAATTGAAAAACTCACATAAGTTCATCTGATTTCCTTAGACCAGACAACGGAAGCGGAACACAAATGATAATGTGGTTGATTACCCCAAAATACCCACTGCCGCTAACTTTTCTAACCCTCAGTAACCCTCCATCGCTTTCGATTTGTCTTAGATCTGCCCACCATCAGAGCTTTGTAAGATGAGAACACTGTAGGTTTTGACGAAGACAGAGGAGTAGATCCGAGATCTTGACGGTGTTGGAACTCGGAAGAGCGAACCTAAGGTTTTGATGGCAGTGGCAAAATAGTAGATTTGGCGACGACTTGGCAATGGAAACATTAGTTCGGCGGAGGGGCGGCGGAGGGGCATAAGGTCAGAAGAAAGAAAAAAAATGAAAGTGAAGATAAAAAGGGGTAGATCTACTGGAATAGGAAGAAGATTCCAGAGAGAGATTAGGGCTGTAAACAGATAACCGAAAATTCGATTACCGTCCGCATCCGTATCCGTTTATATGAAAAATATCCGCATCCGTTAAAAGCAGTTATTATCCGTATCCGATTGCTAAACGGATATGGATTTGATAATCATACATCCGATCCGTTTATAATCCGCTCCGCATTGACATCCGTTTAAATAACCGTTTATCCGTATATCCGATCCGTTATATATAGTCTTTCTTAATTTTTTATTTTTATATTTTGTTTCTCTATAGATATCTCAAAGTATAAGACATTTTTATATGCAAAATATATGTGTAAACACATAAAAGTATGTGTATATATGTACTGTGTATATCATTTTATGATATAAAGTCATCGTAGAATATCATAAACTATAAAAAAATAAGAAAATTAATATCCCATAAAAATGATAGTTGATTTAATAATATTTTAATTTAGTTTAATTGAAAATTCAAGTATTGTTTAATTTAGTTTTAAAAATTGGAAACGGATACGGATATATTCGATATCCGACTGATATCCGACGGATGCGGATACGGTTTTGATTTTTCAATATCCGTCTAGATCCGTATCCGAATTCGATATCCGACAAAAATAAACGGATGCGGATCTGGTAATGACACATCCGATCCGATTAAAATCTGTTTACATCCCTAAGAGAGATGGTAATTGTGAGAGAAATGTGGTGGTTGTGGTGGGTAGAAGATTGACATTTACACACAAAATTGCCAAATACTCCCTCCGTCCTATAATAATCTTCCCGGTTCGCAAAACGAAGAAAAAATTCTAAGTTTTTTTAATCTATTTTATTTAAATATTGGTAGAGAAATAAAAAATAAAACATACATATTTAAAAACTACTCTAAAAGTTCAACAAAACAAGTAGTGACAAGAATATTTTATTTTATCATAAAGGCCATGAAAAAATACAAATAAATATAAATTCTCGTAAAGTTGGAATAGTGCTCTGGGAAGATCATTATAGGACGTAGGGAGTAATAAATGAAAAGAATAGTGCAAAATAATGTACTCCGTAAAAAATTTGAGGGAACACTAATAAGGAAATACTCCCTCTGTCCACCATATATCTTTCCAGATACTATTCACATGGTCAAACTTAACTCACTTTGTTTGCTTATTTTAACCACTCATTTCATAAAATAAAATAGTGTTGTCACTTCTAGTTTTGTAGAACTTTTCATGTATTTTTTACTATATAAATTTTAATTTTAAATTTTATATTTACAATCAAATAAATTGAATTGAAAATAAAGTCGGTCAAAACTCGTAACGCGCAATGAGAAGATCATTGGTGGACGGAGTGAGTAATAAAGTTTGTCCCAAAATGTTTTTCAGTACATTTTATGTAAAACGAAGCAAAATTTCAAGTTTTTTTAATATTCATTTTATTTAATAGTTGATAAAAAATTAAAATTAAACTTACACATTTTAGAACTGTGTCAAAAGTTATACAAAATATTAGGTGACAAAAAGATTTTATTTTATTTAATAATTAATCATACAAAAATAAATAATAGTTTCGTGACTCTTTTAGACAGAGAAAGTGTATTTTAAATGCGGAAGATGGATAGAACAAATCATGAATATGTTTTGTGAATTAGGTACCGTTTGGCATCAGCACTAGAAGCTAGCGTTTTGAAAAGTATCTAATAATAGCTTATTGCGTTAGCATTTTCAGAGTTAATTTACATTGTTAAAATTTTATCCAAAACACTAATACTAATTGAAACGCTCTTTCAAAACTTGACCATAGTTTATTTTCTGAGAAACTCTAATAAGTTTATCTTTTATAATTGATTTACAATGTAGTTTATTTTGTGAGAAAGATATTCATTTAATATGTTCTGTGAGTTATTTTGAAATGTACAAATGGGAAAAAATTGGATCCCCCAAAAATATGTTGTATCTATGAATGATATACAATATACTTTGTCTATCGTAGTCTTTTCTATAGTATGGTCTCACTGAAATATATTCTTTACTCTGTAGAACAGTAAATTTGTGCAACCACTTTAATATCTCTAATGTAAATATAATGTGTTGACATTTAGTTTTTATTCTCTTTCTATTACAGAGAATATGAGTGTAATGTGTCATTGAAAAGTGATGACGGTAAAAAGATTAGGTATGAAGTATTTTCGAATATCACAAAGAATGTTATTTATAAAGAAGTATTGTAGAATCTTTACTTTCTTATTAGTATAGTATTTTGTAATTATCTTCAACATTAATATGTAATGCTTTATATATTGTGAGAAATGGATCAAATAATATGTCTTTTGTATGCTTTCTCTATATAATTTCTAATTTTTTTCTAAAATATATAATTTCTAAATTAATTACTCTTAAACCAATGCATACACTATCACAAATTAAAGACCGTGCAGGTACGAAATCTAGTACTCCCTCCGTTCCCCATAGATCT